GCCGGACCCAGGCGTCGAGGTGGCGGGAGGAGGCGGGCCCTGCGAGAATCTTAAGACAAAGCGAGAAACACCGGGCCCACCCGCTCAGTCCGAGCCCAGAGCCCGGTCTCTGCGCTCTAAGAGGGCGCTGGGACCGTGGCGCTCCCCCAGCGCTGCCCAGCCGGCGGCGGGAGATCGAGGCGCTGGACGTCGGCTTCTCTAAGCCGCTGGGACCTCCGTGGGACTCGGTTGCCAGAGATCATGCCAGGGGATGCGGCATTGCAGAGATTTATTTTTTAGGTCTTCAAATCACGAGAGTGATTCGTAGCTGCCATTGCACAGGAGAACGATTCTATTGACAGGTGACCCGCGCGCGAAGTTTCACCCCCGTGCGTTTGCACACCCAGTGCCCCGAACGCGCGCGCGCACACTCGCACACTCTCACGCACTTTCACATTCATGCACACTCACACTCACACACACACTCGCACACGTACATACACTCACATTCACAATGGCATTGGATACAGCGGGCCTTCTTAACAGGCCAGAGATCCTACGGTTGCTTGTACCGTGTAGCTTGGTTTGCCCGAGGTATTCCCCAAACTATTTCTGACGTGAAGTGTTTCTATAAATGTTTAAGATGATTTAGAGAAATAACGTTTAGGACAAAACTCCTGTGAAATAGACAAATGGAGGCACACTCTTTTCGATTAAAAAAAAAAGAGCAAACAATAAATTGATGTGCAAGTATTTGGGGAGGAGGAGAAATCTTTTTCCCATTCATTCATTCCCTTCCTGTTTGAAAAATGCCATCCCTTTAAAGTTCATGTTTTAACCTGAAATATTTCAGTACAGAGAGAAATTACCCTGAATATTTTCATAGTAAAATTAAAATGTGGCATTTTAATTCCATCCCTTTAGATCTGCTCCCAGCCTGTGATGGAGAAAGGCCCACTTTGGCGTTTCTGCAAGATGTTATGGACATTTTGCTTCAGTATGTGGTGAAAAGTTTCGATAGATCAACCAAAGTGATTGATTTCCATTACCCTAACGAGCTTCTTCAAGAGTATAATTGGGAATTGGCAGACCAACCACAAAATTTGGAGGAAATTTTGATGCATTGCCAAACAACTCTAAAATATGCAATTAAAACAGGTATTGTTCAATCAGAAATAATAAAATCTTTTTTCTTTTACCCTTTTGTTTCTATAAAAATGTTTTGTTTGATGGAGTTACTGATGTTTTCAACATTGCAACGTTATTTTCATCGTTTAGAAATAGTCATCATTAGAATGATTCTAATCACCCAAAAGACCTAAAAGCATTTTTCCACTACTGTTGTTAATGCTTCTGCAGTTGATAATATCAGAAACATTATCTAAGTATCAATCATCAGATTTTACATTGCATGCATTTGGTCACGGAGATTTAACCACTAGTGTAGAAGCAACCATTTGTCAGGAGAGGCCAGTAGAAGGGATCCAAAATGGAGAGAGAAAGGGAATATGGAAATAAAATCTCAAAAGGCATGATCCAAACAAAAGCCTGAATCCTAGTGTAGGGCTGGTAATTTCTTTGGCAAAGAACTGGTCAGAACTGGCCTAACCATCCTATTAATCACTGAGTTGGAGGAATAATGTTTGGCATTGTCTCAAATGGCCAACACTAAATTTGAATTCTAGATTTTCTCCTATTTTTAAAGAAATGTGCACACACACAAACACGGTACAGTCTATCTTAGCAACTCAGCCATGTTATATAAGGGTGTATGTCTTCCCAGTCGCTGTGCATGTAAGATAAAGAAAAAAGGGAATAAGGGGGAATCAATATCCTTAGAGGTACATTTAAAAAATATATATTCTGTGATGTGACTATTGGTTTTTCACAGTATCCTTTATATTCTATTCATTTTATTTATTTTTTAAAAATTTGTAAAGATTCTATCCATTTTATAGCTTCAGAATGCATTCCAAGCTTTCATTTTATATACAGAGAGTCAGCAATTAATCTAGCCAGGTCATGATAACCCTTCCTTTCCATATTGTCTGTAATCACCCTGACACATAATGGCATAGCACTTCATTAAAACAATAAAAATAAGTATGAATGAATTTTGTGGGGTGGAGGGGTGGGAAGGAGAGATCTTGTGATCTAAGCTGATTTGTAGCCTTAAGATTTGCTAGCAAATAAAAAATATAAATTATGACATGAACATTAATTACCATAGAACCCTTATTTTATATTTTATTATTCTTATCAACAACAATCACTTTCAAATAATGTTTGTTGTGAGAACTTTAGCTCTTTCTCTCCTCTTTTTTTTCATGTTATTTATACCAACAGAGAGGTAAGGTATGCATAGAAGAAGCCTTGTGACATAGATTTACTTTGTTGTTAGTATCCACTTCTGTGAGACTGTGGACTTAGAGCTAGATACATGTGGGAAGGAACTTAACTTGTTGATTTCTATCAAAGTCAATCTGTGAAGTTCAATTTTTGAAGGTTTATTAGATATCACCCTCAAAATGTTCATGGAGAATCCACAGGATTACATACAAGACCAGTTTTTCAAGTATCTGTAGGTGTAAACCTAAACAATGCTTTTAATTCATTTTGTTTGACCCATTCCCCTTACCTAATATTTAAATATGTTAATAGTAAATTACTACCTAAAAGATTCTATGAGAATGTTTTACATCTTCATCCTTGAAAGCTGGTGGTGTTTAAAATGCAATTTAAAGAGTTAAGACAATGGGAATTGCAAGTCAATGAAAGTAATAGTTCTATCAATGTTCCATTTAGTGCCAGGAAAAGATGGGCCAATTCAATACTTAGATTTTGCCATAACGCTTGTGAAATTGTTAGTCAAGTGTTGCTCTAATGTTTTTTATTCGAAGTTCAGATAAATAAAAATATGGATTCAGCTGCCTTTCTAGGCTAGATGTATCAATATTAATACAATATCTCGATATTATTCATAATGTATTTAGTCTGCTGATCTTCTCCCCCCAGGCAGCATTTCAAAAAATTAACAGCAGTCACCTTCTCTCAGTTGGCAAATTTATGGATTTTTGTGCTGTATCTGTCATATGTGTCACCTAGTACCATTCAGGGTCTGTCAAAGGCATTACCATTCCTGCTACCATCAGGCACTGTAATGGGGAAATTACTTTATAAAATGTGTGTTATCACCTGATCTCTGCTGAGAGAGCTTAACTTAATTCCCACTCGGACTCCAAACTTAAAGAGGAGTGAGGGCAGTGGAAAATATTTTACACTGAAGTATTGTTCATGAATTGTTAAAATCACCTCCGTAAGAAATGTTGGAACACAGAAACCTGCAGGGAATGATAGAATTCTGGAATAACGTTGGCGGAGATTATTAGATGTGGTGGCGATGGTGGGGAGGTGGAGAGTAAGGGTTAATGTCATCTTGAGTCTTTACCTGAGCTATCAGACAAAGGGAATTGAAGTGTCGGTAAAGGAGGCCGCGCTTGTGTGAGGGTTGCCAGTAGGTAAAGAGCAGTTTGGACAGACTTTTGGCTCCTCACCACTGATGGTGAGCCCCAGGGTCGGAGTTGCCTGAGGCTGCTTGTTCGCTGAGTCTACGCCTCCTTGCGAGCTCATTTACTAATCTGTGGGGAGCATCCCAGAGTCCGGAGCGGCTGGAATCTCCGGTCTCACACTCGCCGTCTCCCAGGCAGCGCAGGCAACGCGTGGCCAGCTCATGCCCGCCGCGGCCGCTCAGCTCCCATCACAGGGCCCGGCAGGCGGTGACAGCAGCTGGAGGCTGAGGGCTGCGGGGACAGCTGAGGGGCTCGGAGACAGGTCTCCCACACTTCCTCTCAGCGAGCCCCGCCTGGATTTGCGGGGCAGCCCTAGGAGCCAGCCTGTAGGGGCCACAGGACGACAACAAATGTCATTAGGGGAATATCTCTGCCATGTATCAAGAGGGTCTGATGTTCTGACCTGTCAAATGATTTGCTTCCGTATTTTCACATCAGTATCAATGAATGAAAGTTTTTAGGCAGGAGAGATGATTCGGGTGAAATGGCAGACCAGAGTCAACAAAATGTATAGAGGAAGGGAAACCCAGCAGTTGAAGCATCAAACTTGCTTTCACATTTCCCCAAAAGTAGCCATCAGGGTGGATTGGTCTTGGGATATCCAGGGACAAAACACACCTCTTGGAATCTCAGTTTTAAAGCACAGATGTGTGTGCCAGAGTTTCTCTAGAACTAAATACTGTGTGATAATAAACACCAGATTCATCCAGAAAATGCATGTGAATTGGGAGAGTAGATTAATGGGTAGATGAGCTTAATGGGTACATTAGCTAATCTTTATTAATTTCCTCACTTGAAAAAAATGGCTTAGGGAAACAGAAATGAAGGGGCACGCAGAGGGAGAATGCGGCTGTGATTTCAGATGCCAGCATAATGAAATGGGGAGTCAATGAGGCAGAGAGGAGGTGGGGGTTGTTCCAGGCATCGGTGGCCTCAGCAGCAGAGGAGGCCTTTTCACCTTTTGTGGATGGGGCGAACTGCCGGGGTCAGCGTCAGAGGGCCTGGAAAAGAGCAAAAAGGCAGAAGGATGATGTATGAGGACCCAGGGAGGTAGAACAATGCTGGAGAATGAACAAGAGATGCACAAGTCCCAATCTCTCTAAAATGTGCCCTTCCTCAGTTCCTATTTGTCCCCAGTGTCTCACTCTCTGGCCACATGCCTCGGCTGATAAGAGAGCACTCCAGGCCAGAGATAAGCTGTGTGTTGACTTTTGTCCCTGCTTTCCCCATTGCCTTCCTTTATCTTGTTTTGCCCATGCTGGTGATGAGAGACTATCACATCCCCAAGCTTCAGACAGGTGTCTAGTAAGTGGCAGATACCTTTTTAACAGATGCTAATTCCATCATTATTAATCTTTAAAATTTTTTGCTGCTATGCAAATCAGACTTGTTGGTAGGCTTTCATAGGGCTAGAGGAGGAAACAGAATGCTAATGAGATATTTATAATCAAATTTTAAGTAATAGCCTCAGGAGAATGTGGATGCCAATCCATGCAGTGAGTTTTAGAGAAATCCAGAAGTTAATTAGATAAGGCTTGTGAATGGACTGATCAGTTCATTGGATATATCTGTGTATTTTGTTGATAAGACAGTAATGTTGACTGTGTTTAGCTTTATTTTGAATCACAGCGATGTGGGAACTTTGTTGTTTATAATCAAATATTCAGACAGAGAAGAATTGACAAGAATTAGCTTTGCCCATGCCATCTTTAGACAATCCTCACCTTTTGAATTCAGGGCAAACCACTCAGCAGTGTCCTATTTTCTCATTTTTGCCCTGTCTTTTGTAATCATCAGCCATTTGTCACGATATTATTATGAATGTTGGCATGCCTAGCGGATGTCATAGGATGACTGATTCTCAGAATGACTACAACAAAAAAGGATTTTTTAGCAGCATGCGTGTAAATAAGAAATAATCTTTCTTTGAATTGCTTTGGGTTACAGTAGCATTTTAGTTTGCAAAAATATTGAAAAAGTATAGAAAAGAAACTAGTATCCAGACTGCAAGCCATATTTGTTATTTTTTATAGGGAATGTTTAAAAGAAGAATTTTGAGTGTGTTTTAAGAAATATCAAAACTCAAAGCTGTCTCTTCCTCTGTGGTTAGAGGAAATGCTTTTTGGGTGTGTGTGTGTGTGTGTGTGTGTGTGCATAAGTGCATGTATGTGCATGGTGTGTTTCTAAATGTGGATTTTCTACTCCTGAAGGATCTTTCAAGGTCTTTTAGCTAGAGAAATCATGTGTTTGAGAGGCATTTATTTTCACTGGATTTCTGATTCTGGTATTCCATTTTATCCAGGGCATCCCAGATATTTCAATCAACTTTCCACTGGATTGGATATGGTTGGATTAGCAGCAGACTGGCTGACATCAACAGCAAATACAAACATGTAAGTAGCTAAATATGTTTTTGTGTAACCTAGGAGATTTCATTGCCTAGGAGATTCATATCACCTCTTATGTGATGATCTCCTTTTATTAAGTAGCCCCTAAAATAGTGATATGAACTTCAGAGGTATGTGTGTTCACTCTAACTTATTAGAAAATAGCCCCATATATCTTTTATGCAAACTATACAAAATTTTTAAAATACACAAGGGACATTTTGGCATTTTGGATTTACAATTATGTATAATGTGAAATAAAAATGAGATGGGACCAGATGTTTTTAAATAGTGTTACCCTGCATTCTTCTTTATTATTCAGTGTGATAAACCACCCTTGTACATAATGTCAATAATTGAAGTTTTTGACTTTAGGGATGCAGAAAAATAACCAAACCTTTTGGAAGACCTTTTAAAATAAATTTCTCTCTGCTTAATGGTATAATCATAACATTTGTGAATATACAGTTTTCTAAAAGAAATTTTTCTGTAGATATTGTAATGGTGAATTATTTATGTGAGTTACACACATAAAATGTGACCATTACTACATTTCAGGTTCACCTATGAAATTGCTCCAGTATTTGTGCTTTTGGAATATGTCACACTAAAGAAAATGAGAGAAATCATTGGCTGGCCAGGGGGCTCTGGCGATGGAATATTTTCTCCTGGTACATGATATTTTGATCTTTCTGTGTGTGTGTGTGTGTGTGTGTGTGTGTGTGTGTGTGTGTGTTTCTAATATGCTAGGCCTTGTTATGAATGTAGGAAAGATTAAATATCTAGCCCACTTGTCTGTTTAGGTTAACTAGGCTATATGTTGATCAAAAGAATAAATATAATTAAGAGAACATGGCCAGTGAGCACGCCTTCATGCTAACTACTCTGTGTTTGAACATCACTTTTTTGTGTGTTCAAAAAAAGCATAATCACAGATAGTACTTACTCAGTGCTTCCAATGTGATCCTGCAAGCAGGATGTATGGATAATGTGGAACAAAGGAATCAAGATTCTGAATAAGGGAATTTATTCTCTGATGCTCTTCCTGGAATTACCAAAAAAGAAAGGATAGTTCTTGCTGTTCAAGGATGCATAGCAAGGCATATCTACTCAACATACTCAACAGACAGAGCATATGCACCACTCTATTCTTCGAAATAACAAGCAGGGATGTAGATTTGCATTAATTTCAAGAAGGGCAGAGAGTGCCTCAGGAGATAATTTCTTAGGGCTAAAAAAGAGGTAATGATTTCTTCAAGAGTTTTCTCATCCCTTCTTTTCTTTATCATGCCATGCAATCTTTTCCATCTTATCTGTTCTTACCAGTCATTGTATTCTAAGCTCCATTATTTGCACCTCTCCCAGCCAAGAGAATCAACCTGAAACAAAAACTATGCCCTTGGTTTACAGTTCTGTGTATGACCTTGGTTTGATGCAGAGAAGAAATAGAAGTTAGAAAAGGAGTGGGAGGAAGGAGTCACTGACCCATGGAAAAGAAACCTAGTTTGCAGACCATCACCTAATCAGTTGCAGGAGTGAGGGTCATTAGTCCAGTGAGATAGGCCCCACCTGAGAGGTCAGAGCCACACCTGCCATTGTGTCAGGCATAGCAAAGGCCAAGTTGTTATGATCTATCTTCAGCAAATCTACAAAGACAAGCAGATAATGAGGGAGAGGGAGAAAGAGCTCAAAGAAAAAAAATGATAAATAAGCAACGGTGACCTCAAGGCCAAGGCTGAAGTTAGGCATGTTTGCCTACAAGCTCAGATCTGCTATTTTATTTTATGTTTTTAAATATATAGCACAATTTATCAGGTACTGAAGGAAAAAGTGTTAGTTAAATGGAAAGGAAAATTAGCCTTTTTAGAAGTCATTGAGCACCAGCTGTGATGAGTTTTATAAAAGCTAGCCTTTATTTTGTAGGGAACTTAGTACTTAGTTTTCCTTTGGAAAACCACCTCTGCTAAGAGAGCTTTGTCATCATTGCCTGAAACTGATGATTTGAAGGTATTTTTCATGAGGAATGAGGTGGGATACAAAGATCAACATCATTTCTAGGTTTAGTCTTCCTCCCCTTATATGGTTGGTTGTAGGATTGAGCTGTCCCTGAGATGAAAAGAGAGTATCCTGGGCTCTATTTTAATGGTCCCCAGGAGTGGAGAGAGAACAGCTGAACCTGTTGACCCTGAACATGTGACTAATTTGACTAGGGGCCAGGCCTAATTTACCTGGCTGGTCTGGGAACCTACATGCACTAGAAAATATATACCCAGAGAAAGAATCCTCTTTGGCAATTCTGCTAGGCTAGGGATAGTCTTAGGGTTTATCCCTCCACCCTCACTGGTAATGAGGAGTTAGCAGGTAAAGAAGACTTAATGTTTGATCATGGGTAATACCTGCCTCCTTGGAGCCTAAAGACCCATATGCTTTCGCCCCAAGGTGCAAGCTATAGGTGTCAGGCTACAGTGTAATGTAGATCTCACAAGCTGCAGGGGGGACAACAGAGAAGGTCATTGGCAACCTGTTTCTGCTCTACTTTCTATAAGGCATGATAGTAAATAAATGGCTCCTAGCATCCTACTGGCTAATGGATGCTTTCCACATAGCTTTCAGTCGTGCTCCTAGAGCAGAGCATCTTAACATTTAAGGGGTGGGAATAGGGAAAATTGTACATCTTATGTGCCTGTGATCTAAAAGTCTCATTCCCTAGGACTAAGTGTGAAGAATTAGGTCTGTGACTTGAATACCTAGCCCAGCTCAGCTGCTTTGCACCTCCATCTATAACATCCAAAGGCTTCATGCTTCATGGAAAATCCTTTAGGACTCCTAGAAGAAATCTGCTTATGTGGTGTCACCTATACCTGGGAACCAGAGAGAACTAGAGCACTCCTCACTGCTCAACAGGTCATAAAGGACAAAGACTAAGGAGGAAAAAAAAAAGCTTGACTTAGTCACAGACCCTTGCCTATCTAATAGGATTTCCGGAATGTTTCAGCCCTTGTTTTTGTTTTCTTTCTTTAGAGAAATAAAAGCAGTTAGGGGTTGTGCATCCATTCTCATGCCTGTGCTGTTCAAAGCAGTCTACTATTTCTAGAGGTCCAGAATCCTTTTCATCCCTCTCAGGGCTGCTGAACCTTTAGGATAACTGAGCTACAAGAAGAAAAGTAGGAGAGCAGGGCTGGAAGCCTCCTGGGTAACTGCACATGAAGAGCGCTTTCTTTCCCTTTCTCTTCTCTCCTCCTTCCTCTCCATTCTCTTTAAGAACAACCAGAACAACTTTGAAAACAACTTTTGCAAACAGGGGCTATTTTGTCATCCCCAAGAGCTATTTGACAATATCTGTAGACATTGGTGTACAGAGGAGGAGGAGCTACTGGCATCTTGATGGATAGAAGCCAGTGGTGCTGCTGTACACCCTACGATGCCCAGGACAGCCCTCACCACAATTATGTAGCCCAAAATGTCAATAAGTGCCAAGATTGAGAGGCCATGAGCTGGAATGGAAGTTCCTTTAAGAGCATACCCTGTGTCTAGCTAGCTTCCTACAGTCAGTCTTTTAGATAGGGTGTCTGCTCAGAGCAAGTGTGACCTGGATTCTTCTTGTACTGTGTCTCTGGGGTCCAGAAAGGTAGGAATTGCCCTTATTCTGACTGACAGCAGAGCTAGGATCTGGGTGATGACTACTCTGTGCCAGGCTGTCAGCTTGGGTCAGAGCCCAGGACTCATGAGGCAAAGGTTGAAAGGTCCTGCATAAGCCATTCAACTTGGAACAGAGCCCTTCTGCTCCCCAGCCACCAGGATGGAAAGTAACTCAAAGCACCCACATGAAGGCAGGGCCTAGGGATTCCCCCTTTAGGTGAGAGAGGGAGGTACTGCGTTTACTTATCATTTGCATGCATCACAATGTCCTTTTCCTGGATAGCAAAAATCCTAAGCTTCCCAACAACCTTGGGAAAATCTTACTTTGCTTTGCTTGTGAACTGAGACTCTACTAATAAGGTACAAATCTTATGATATGAGATCCCTGGCAATCTTAGGATGACAGAGGAAAAGTAATTCAATATGGACTTAAAATTCTTAGTTATATGCTTTCTTCTAATTATGAAATAAGCTTTGTTAGCCAATGCAATTCTATTTCAATGATATTGTTGACAGGAAAGAACAATATTGAAGGAATGAAAGAGATGCCTATGATGAGATGAACTTGAACTTGGATATTTATCCTTCATTCTGTGAGACTTTTTGATTAACAGCCCTCACCATCAACAACAACTGATTTATTTTAATCCATGTGCAAAGCATTGCATGAGTTGAAATGAAAAGAAATAAGTGTTCTTCATCAGGATATAAGTAGGATTTTACAGGTCTAATACAGAATGACTACACTCACCAATAGGGAAGGAAGACAAACATTTCTCTTTTTAAGAACCTCTCCAAAGGGCCCCCAGCAAGAACAGAATCAATTGCAGTTCCCTTAGTGACTGAGATGGGGTGCAGAGGGGCGGCATCTGTCCTATCCCTATATTCCTTCTCTGAACTCTGTTGGGTAGTGCCTTTGAGTCTGATGATTCAGTCAAAGGATAGCTAAGAGGGTGTGTGTGTGTGTGTGTGTGTGTTGTGTGTGTGTGTGTGTGTGTGTGTGTGTATACAGTGAGGACTCTAGGTCAGTGGAAATAAAGAATGTTGCTTGCATGTGAAATGATGTTGTAATAAATAGAAAAAGTAACATCATGTTGCTGTGCACTTCAGGTGGCGCCATATCTAATATGTATGCCATGATGATTGCACGCTTTAAGATGTTCCCAGAAGTCAAGGAGAAAGGAATGGCTGCTGTTCCCAGGCTCATCGCCTTCACATCTGAGCACGTACGTATTTCTGTTCCTTCCAAGTTCAAGGTTAAATTTAGTAAAGCCCGAGTTGAAGGAATGTTGGCTAGAGATACTTTATCCCCAGAGGTTCTCGTTACAGAAGACATATCTTGGAAGAGATTGAGGGGAAACAACAGCTGATGGTACATGTGCTGTTCTCCTTGTCTCTTCGAAATTAAGGAAAACTTTCAAAGATAATGCAGGTTGGCTTTACCTCTAGTTCTTACCCTTCACTTTTCTGTGATAATGTTACGTGTTAGGGGAAGGGAAAGGGGAGAGAAGGCATAGTGACTATGAACTCATTTGAACCATTAATACTGTGCCTGAGAAACCAAAGCTCCAAAGTACCTATTGATAGTCTTTCTATTTAAAAATACAGTTAACAGATCTGATAGAAATTCTACCCTCATGGTACATTGAATCATTTAACATTAATCTTGAGCTGACTTGGCCAGAGGTTTTGTTACCATAAAGAAATAGCATAGTGGTATGTTGTAGCTGATCTTTGGGCCAGATCTATTTCAGCCAACCACAAGCTCCTGCCTTCTGTTAGGCTGCTGACCAGGCAAGGCCTGACAGCTCTAATTTTCCTTGTATTATGACATACTCCTTTAGTGGCCTTCACGAGTTAATGCCATCCCTCCTACTACCTCCGAGGCATTGGAAAAAGTGACCCATCCTGTTCATATAAATTGAGCTAACAGCTTTAGCCTGCCAGACACCCAGCTTTCTCTCACATGCCAGGGTGAAGCAGCAAACAGATGCAAAGCCACACTGCAGTTGTGTAAGCAATGTCTCCAAACCCTCCTGCCATACAGGGCCTGCCATCAACCCAAGATCCACTCCTTTACAGGTGCCAGATGAGCATCATCTGTTATGTAATTCATAACACTGTTCCTTCACCACCTCTGCCTCACAGTAGCCTAGGTCTGGAATACGGGTGCCTCCAAGAAGACCTGGAAGCCTCTGATGGTTAGGGGATTAGAAGACAGGGAGGATACAAAGGAGTCTATAAAGCTCCTGTAAAGAGATGTCACTCAGGAGAAGCAGGGAACCATAATGGATCTCAGAACCACCATAAAATTTTCATATTTCCTATTTTAAGCGGTGTGTGTGTGTGTGCGCACGTGTGTGTGTGTGTGTGTGTGTGTGTGTGTGTGTGTGTGTGTGTGTGTTTTCAGATAACAAGGAAACAGAGCAAGTATAAATTGGAAGCAAGTGGAAACAGTTCACTACCACAGCAGTAGCTATGGGATTAAAGGAAACTAGTGATCGTATGTTGACAAATTGTCTTGAGCATCTTATTTTCAGTCATGTTTTGGGGTTTTGTTATTTTATTAAGCGCCCTTACTCTTTGTATAGGTGTCAAATTTAGCAGAGAAGACCACAGCCTGAAATTACCTAGTATTTTACCTTTATATTACTCTGGAACAAATTAACATAAACTTAGTGATTTCAACAACATGAATTCATTATCTTATAATTCTGGAGATCAGAATTCTAAAATGCTAAAATGGGAAATGCATTTTTCCTGGAGACTCTTGGAGAGAATTAGTTTTCCTGTTTTTTCTAGATTCTAGAGGCCCCTTGCATTTCTTGATCATGGGCTGTTCTTCCATCTTCAACACCAACAGCACAGCATCTTCAAATCTCTCCTCTTCTCTCTCTCTGCCTCTCTCCCTCTCTCTCTGTCTCTCTCCCCCACCCACTGCTTCCCTCACCACATCTCCTTTTGACTCTCACTCTGACCCTTCTGCTTCCCTCTTTTGGGACTACTTGGATAATCCAGGATAATTTCCCAACTCAAAATCTTTAATTATATGTTCAGAGTTCCTTTTGCCATTTAAAGTAATATATTCCCACAGGTTTCAGAGATGAAGATGTGGACATCTTTTGGGTGGGGGTATCCATTACGCAGTCTGTCTCACCTAGTACCCCACCAAGGGAAAACTTTCATTCCTCAGCTTCTCCAAGAGTGGAAAAGCATGATATAATTTGTCTTCTCAATTATTATTTCCATGAAGTGTATTTGGAACCCTAGATAGTTAAATGTTACTTCATTCTCAGCCTCAAGAATTCCAGTTGATCTTATATTGGGCATCTTTTTCTCTTGGCTTCCAAGCTGTCTCCACGAGCTAAAATGAGGTTAGTCCAGCAGCAAGCTGCCCTATTCTTTCTGCCAGGCATCTCTGGCTTGTGCATGAGATTCTTAGCCTCATGCTTGACAAATATTGACTTAACCTTGCCCAGAAAGCTCAGGCCATATGGTCTAAGAATAAATTTCCTATACTTTCTTTTCCTGATATTGCAAACTTGGAGTCTACTTCTTTATTAATAGAAAAGTGATTCGGTCATTCAACAACCACTTGGTTCTCCATCCTCCCTCCTGTGTCTCTGTCCTCACACATCATTATAAATGATCATTTGAATTATGAGCTTTTCCTGAAATAACAATAGGCCCTAACTATAGGCTCATCATTTTTGACAAATGAACTGTTTTTCTAATGTATGATACCTTATATATGATTGCTATTTGACCACAACCTTGTGGGACAAATGGAACAGAGATTTTTATCAGCATTTTAAAAATGAAAAGGCTGAAATTAGCTAAGTAGGTAGAGCCAGGATCAAACTGAGTTTCCTGACTCCCAGGCCAATGAGGTCCCTGCTCTGACTACCACTGTAGAAACCAAATTAAAAGGTATAGCAACAAAGTTGTGTGCAAAACAGCTCATCAATTGACCTAACATTTTATACCTTCCCTAATGAAATTTCTATCATGAACTTTTTTCTTAATGTGATGGGATGCTAAATTGTTACTCCCTCCCCATATCAAAAATCCTTCCTCATTATTTCATAGGTCTGGGCTGGAGGGGGCTTTCAGAGCTCATTGAAAACTTGACCCAAACCATTCTGGACAGATGAGCTTTTAAAAGAGAGTTCTGCCTGCAGGTAAAGTGGTAACATGATCCTCATCTCTAGTTCCTTCTGGGCTCTCAACCTCAGACATTACATTTAATTCATCGTCTAGTGTAGCTCCTTCTGGCTTCAAGCAGTCCACATATTCCCCTGGTCTTTTCAGATTTTGCAATCATTTTGTCTCCACCAGCTCCAGAAATAGATCTCCATAGGCTGGGGAAAGAACATTACCAAGTCATTTCTCAAATGCCTTTTCTCCAGCCTATCCGATGTCAATCTTCGCATGGAGGTTTCTTACCTGAATTTCTTGATCCACAGGGAGGAAGGGTGGTAGAGGGACTGCTGTGCTTATCTAGTGAGGGGTGGAAAGCCAAGGGCTGAGGCAGAAACTGCTTCAGGTATTCTCTCTTCATGCTCTTTGGGGCTTTTCCAAGGCTCAAGACTTCGGGAGAATCAAATGAGATCCTCATAAAACTCTTACCTCAGAACCTGGGACCCAGAAGCTCTACATAAATATTAGGTAACTCCAGAAAACAACATTAATTTATAGATAAAGAGATGGGGGACGTTTTGTACAAGATTTTTTTTTTTTTTATTCTAAAAAAACAAAGTGACCCGGCAGCTTAGAAGATGGTTCCCACAAAATGTAATACTCCCCATTAGGCAGAAACAGAGCCTAATGGGGATGCTTTGTCCAAGATTGCACAACATTTTTACAGATGGGGGCTGCTTTGTCCAAGATTTTACAGTCAGTGGCAGAGCCAGACCTAGAGCCTCAGTTTCCCAACCATCCCAACACTCTTCCTTTTTTTGCATTAAATATATTTTGTTGCATTAAAATTAATTCCTTTGATGCATAATCTAAGGAATCAGACAGACATGCTGAAATATTTGGTTTTATCGTGTTCTTTATGGCTCAGTTTTCTTATCTGATAAAGGGAAGTATTACTAATGCTCCTCACATAGGACTGTTTAGAGGGTTAAATTAGACAGTATATGTAAAGTGATTAGCTTAGTGCTCAGCCCAACATTTCTCTCTCAACTAGGGTTGGATGTCCTATACACCACTCTCTAACTGACTGCTATATATTTCCCTTGCAGCATCTTTTCTCAAATCCCATTTTCCCCATGTTGGTTATTCTAGTGCTGATATAATTTACTGATCTGCTGAACCAGATCAAGTTACTGTCCTTTCTTCTATTCTGAGCACTGAGTTTATAACTTGGCATATTTGGAGCTATAGAGATGGAAATGACGTTGAAAGTCTCTGTGGTCTTCCATATCCAGCCAGAAACTTCACAAATTCAGTAAGGGAAGAGTCATTTTTTGTTTTTACATGACTTTTCACTCTTTCTCTGTCACAACCTACCAAAGCTACCCACCTTTATTCTGGCCACCAACACAGACCAGAACTTTACCTGGTTGATAAGGAGGGCAAGGTATTAAATTTTTCTGGTTGTTTGAATTATTTTCTTGTATAATTTTATTAGGACTAAGTTAAACAAATAGTATTGCCACGGAGAGCATTGAAGAAGTAAATAAATCACTGAATTGAAACGAGATGGTGTTTAAAATTCCAAGATTACTTTCCTCCAAAATATAGAATCACAAAAATCTCATGAGAAGGATCTTAAAGGTTACTTGGTTCAGTACTCATTCTTTGCTGGAATCTCATCACCTTTCCTACATCTTCAGTGACAGAAAGTCTTGGTGAAAATTGACCCAATGAGTTTTAGGTCCTTTCTTGAAAGTAGGTTTAGAGGAAAGCTAAGATCTCAGCTCAACAATTCACATCTCTAACTCTGAATCCTTTGAAAGCCTAAACCATAGGCTTTATTCAAAATTCCTCTTATTTCCTCGTGTGACACAGCTCTTCCAGAAATAACTTCCTTGAAACAGCATAACTTTGTCATGGAAAAAATGTTCTTCATAATCACTACAGACACCAGGATCTTTTAGGCAAATTCCATAACTAAGTCCCTCCAGTCTTTACATGCCAAGCCCAGCTCATGTCCGCGTCTCCTGGAACCAGTCACCAATGTTCTGCCAAGGTCCCTCATGGGCTAGGCCTGCTTCTG